GCATTTAAAATGTTTTACAGAGAGAAAAGCCGTTGATTATCCCACTTATTTCATGGTCATTTGCCAAGTTATAGACAAGTTAAAACTAGTATTGCTCTTTGCAGCGCAATATTTGACCGAATATGTAAAAGTGACGCTTATTTTCGTCAGTTAAGGCACGTTAGCTCTAGCATTCTGCCCGCGTCAAATCAGACACAAGTGAGCGGCGGCCGGCGGATTTGATGAAGGATCTTCTTTATGCACCAAGAGCTTGTAACACTCCAAAGAGAAAGGAAAAAATGAAATCGCATCATATGACCCCTTTAATTCTTGCTGTAGTATTGTTGTTGCCGCCGCTGCCATGTTGTGATACGCAACGCAACGCGTAAAAAGACAGTATAAGTCATTATAATGCCTCGTTTATAATGGGTTTTCATGTTTTTGAATCATCGCTCCGGCCGGACAGGGCATCATCACAGTATGGTGAGGGCGTAACATTTCCGTCTCACGCTTGAGGTATTCGGCCAATCACAACGCACTGGATAGCTGGCCAATCACAGCACACCTCGCTTTTCAGACCGATGAGCTTTGTAAAAATCGACGCGTTTCAGAAAGGCGGGGCATAGAGGAGAAACAATAATGTACAGTATGTGGAAAATAATGTGTTTTTTGAACCTTAAACCGCATAAACACATTCCATTACACCAAATACACAAAATAATGTTCTTTTTAGCAACATCATATGACCCCTTTAATAAAAGTCGCGGGGCTCCTGAGTTTGCGTAGGTTTATAAATGATTTACCTTACAAATCTGATGAAATGGTGCACGTTGCGTTCCCAGATGAATGTTATAATAAACCCAAACTCACAGCAATATGCAGAGATGGAGTTTGAGACGCTCCACACATGTAAATGATAACGTGTGGAGCGGCATTTACGCTCTGAGACGCACATATGTAACCTACGCGCATGTAAATAATTAACGCTCCTATATCAAACCGGCATTGCATGTATATTTATTTAATTGAATCATTGCGTTTGGGAATTCACAATAGCATTATGCTTTATTATGATTTTTAAATGAGTTTAATATATCGCGCAGCCTTGGAAGACGGTCTATGGTCTCGTGTCTGTGAAATGCGCCACTTCCGGTATTTTGCCGATTACTCGACGCGGGCAAAATGCAATCGAGGATTTTTTAAAAATCGAGTAGTCGAATTGAATCGAGGAATCGCGACAGCCCTAATGCGTACTGTTAATGAATACTGGAATGATTATGGCTGACAAAGGATTTGGCTCTTACAAACCTCAGCTGTGGCTGTTTCAGGATGTTTCCCTGCAGTACCTCTCAACACGTTGTATGTTTCCCTAATCAGACGCACCTGATTCAGGTCATCCGCTCAATAATACAGACTCGTGTGAGATGTGTACTGATGGGGGTCCTTCATGACTAGCCTAATAATGCCAGTACACAACAATCTGCCTTCAAACTGCACAAGGCCTCAGTAACATTCAAGCGATAAGAGCTTATAAGAAATGTTTCAAACTTTCAGACGAGGCTTTGTTTCAACAAGTTTGTCTTATCAAACTAACTTAAACCTGGACAATACAGCCATAGTTGCTGTTTGACAGTGCGTTGAATGTGCTCAGCAAAATTACCCAATCATCTTTATTGAAAGGGATAGTTCACCCAAAAATAAACATGATGAGGTCTTACTCACCTTCATGTCGTTCCAAACCCATAAGACTTTCTTTGATCTTCAGAGCACAAATGAAGATGTTTAATATATTCATACATTTTGTCTCTGCTTCAAAAGGTTTTTTATATGATGAATAGATTTAATTTAGGCTGCACGTATGAACGTCAACGCACATCAAATACAGTAACCTGATGAGGTACATCAAGCAAGTACGCTTGAGCTGCTGTGGACCACATTTAGTAATGGATTACTTGATGTCTTTATGAAGCTTCATAGTTTTGGTGGGATATATTTTCATTGGAGGGACAGAAATAACTCTGGTTTCTTTAAATATATCTTCATTTTTGTTTCAAAGATGAATGAAAGTCGTATGGGTCTGTTTAATCTATATATCCTGGTTGAATCACTGTGATGATAATGTAAAAGTAATTCACCCGCTTGATAATGCATACATGAATCTTCTGTACAGAAACAAACCGCTTTCAAGGACTTAAGTATTATAGGAGAGGCATGATCACTCAACTCTCCAGTAAAAACACTCACATGAGGCCTCAGGTAGGAGATCTTGACTCGCTGTGTTTTTGCGCAGGCCGGCTCTGTCCACGTCCGCATTCGCAGAGATGCTGACGAGCAGATGGTTTTGGCCCATGTGACCAACCGGCTGAACACGCTAGTCTCCACGCTGACGGTTCAGATCTTCAAAGACGACTGGGCCCGTCACTCGCTGACCTCCAGCACCCTGCCCACCGGCTCACTCAGCCTCTCGGAGTACGTCACTTCGGCTGGCTTCCCCCCTGTGATGTCCAAACAGCACGACGAGTTGAACCCGGCCACGTCTACGCCTGCGAAGCCCAGCAGCCCTCCGCCCGAGTTCTCCTTCAACACGCCGGGGAAGCACATCCAGCCCGTGGTGTTTCAGACGGCCCATCAGCACAGGCCCTTCAATGCGCCTCTCTCCTATGGGATGCCTCCCTACTCCAGCATGCTGAACCAGGGCTTTGCGCATCCCAGTGACGGTCCCGCCATGAGGCTGGGCTTTGGGGTCGGGGCGCGGATGCCGTCTGTTCAAGGATACAGGACTGTGAATGCAGCGCCACACAGATACGGAAGCAGTCTGCCCTCGTCACAAACCGGCCAACAGAGACCGTGAGCGGATCACATGATCATCACACCGCTAGCCCACCACTACCCTGAGTATTTATGTTAACGGGACCAAGAGCAAGAGTTTCATTCTCAATGGATGTTTTATCTGTATTCTTTATTTGTATTAAACCGCTATCAGACATCTGTGAAGTCGCATTATTTATTTACGACATCTTCATAAAGTTCATCTGTGAACAGAGTTCAAGAGTGCAATGTTTCATTTTAATAATCATTTTGTTTCGAGTTTGTCATCTATTTGTGCACCGATAATTGCATTGAACATTAGTTAAACCAAACATGAGCATATGGAGGAGCTTGTTCATTGCATCATGTTTTCACACAAATTACACCAGAGCAATGTCTGTTCACCAGGGTTGTGTGCCATTCAGAATTGAGCTGAGAGTGGCTTGTAAATGTCAGTCATTTTTAACTATAAATGCAAAGTTTGTCAAAACAGACTAAGTTGCCTTGACAAAGGTGTTGTATTGCGCCAGAACGCATCTTCTGTTTTGAATTTTCTTGAATTGCAATTTACTACATTCCTCCTCATGGCATTCAGATTCTCGTGTGTTGTGGCCAGTTGTTCAAATACACCAGGAGCCACAGTCCTGCAGAGTTTCACTCCGACCCTAATCAAACACACTTGAACAGTCTAATCAAGGTCTAAAGGTTACAGGAACGCTACAGACAGGTGAGTTTTGATCAAGGTTGGAGCAAAACTCTGCAGGACTCTGGCTCTCCTGGACCGGCGTTGGCCTCCCCTGAAATATACGAGACGATTCTTTAATTCTGCATTCTGTCCAACCTTGCTAATTCCATCCACTCTTTTAGCTGCTCCCGTTAGGGGTCGCCACAGCATAATTATCCACACAGTTGCTTTTAATCTGGATGCAATTTGTGTAACTCCATGGACAACTGTTCAGTGTCCCATTCACTTGCATGTCTTTGTATGTTAGGAAAAATCTGGAAACCCACGCCGAAATAGGGAGAACATGCAAACTATACACAGAAAACTCTCCTTGTCCAGCTGGGAATCGAACTAGCAACCGTCTTGCCGTGAGCCAACAGTGCTAACCCCAATAATGCAAATTACACAAACTAATTCTAGATTTACAATGTAAAAAATAATAATAAAATAACATTCACTTCATTGTAGACAAACACATTAAAGTGATTTTACTGAATGAACTGTGAACTTTTCCATTGTTTTATCTATGCAAGCACACTAGATGGACATATTTAAAGGAACACTCCACTATTTTTGAAAATAGGCTCATTTTCCAGCTCCCCTAGAGGTAAACAGTTTTCAAATCCATTCAGCCGATCTCCGGGTCTGGCGGTAGCACTTTTAGCAGTAGCTTAGCATAGATCATTGAATCTGATTAGACCGTTAGCATTTTTGCATGCAACTTTGCTACCGTACCATGGGTTCAGCAGGCGCAATGATATTACGCAGCGCCTGAAAATAGTCCCCAGCACGCTCCCTGTGCAAGCAGGTGGTCACGTTGGTTATGTTGACTGAAGTTAGCCTATTTTCAGGCGCTGTGTAATATCATTGCGCCTGCTGCACCCATGGTACGGCAGCAAAGTTGCATGCAAAAATGCTAACGGTCTAATCAGATTCAATGATCTATGCTAAGCTACTGCTAAAAGTGCTACCGCCAGACCCGGAGATCGGCTGAATGGATTCGAAAACGGTAAAACTAAACTTTTTAACTCTAGGGGAGTTGGAAAATGAGCCTATTTTCAAAAATAGTGGAGTGTTCCTTTAAATATTGTGCTTGCACATGACATCAGTGTTCTAAAACTCAAGTTAAAAGAAGTTCAGCTTTTAAAAGACACATCTAGTGACCCTGCATTTTTTTCCCCATTTCACTGCCCATGTCTCATGTTTTTAAAACCAAAAACACGTTCTGTGTGAACCACCCCTTTGTGATTGTGAATACCTGCATTCCCTGGGAATTGAACCAGGACATTTGGCGTTGCTACTGCCACACTCTACTGTGAGAGCTAAAGGAACGCTATCACAATCATTAAAAATGACGCATTGTTCACACCAAGCTGAAGCCAATCCAGTAGCGCTGCCCCCTAATAGTCGACTAATTGTTAGTCGACCAGAAGAGGCTTGGTCGACCAAAATTTTATAAGTCGCAGAAAAAAAATCCACATTGGCGAAGTCATGCAAATCGTTAATGGCTGGTCTATGGAAATACAGTACATCCGGCAGGACATCCAAACGCTCGACTATCAGTCATCCACCTCAAATATGGCTTATCATCTGAAATATGTATGTATTAGCAACTTTACATGGCCGCTCAATCTAATGCAGGGGTTTTCAACCTGTGGGGCAGCACCTGTCAAGGGGGGCGCGAGCATCAGTTAATTCAAAGACGTTCTCTTGAGAATTTATGAATATGAGTTAACAAATCTTTAGCCATCCACTAGGGGGCAATCTGACTCCCACTGCTAGTCGACAGTTAGAGCAGAGTTGGCTCGAGTATCAGTCACGCTCAGTGTTGCCAAGTCCGCGGTTTTCCCGCCGAATTGGGCTACTTTAACACTTGCCGCGTTTTGTAGTTTTGGGTTAGTTTTGAGTAGTAATTAGGCGGGTTTTGTTGTGAAAACCCGGCAACCCTGGTTACGCTTATTGACAGTGTAAGATGATTTACGATTAGCCGTGTCAGAAATCCAACCACGGATTGGCATGTTGTTATTTCAGAAACAGGCTCAGCCATCACATTGAATCAGGTAAACTGGTTATATATTTATGTTTCAGTATAATTAGTTATCGGGGGAATTGTGAGCGGACACCGCCGCCTCGGGGGAGCTGTGAGCGGACACCGCCGCTTCAGGAGCTTTGTGAGCTGACACTGCCGCCTCGGGAGAACTGTGAGCGGACACTGCCGCCTCGGGGGAACTGTGAGCGGACACCGGCACTTCTCGAGCTTTGTGAGCGGACACCGCCGCCTCGGGGGTAGATTGGGCTGACGTGAGGGCGCGCATGTCCTAAAAGGTTGAAAACCCCTGATCTAATGTTAACCTAGAGAAATGTGCGCTATTCAAGTGTCTGTGTGGAAGCTGAACATTAGCTCTCACTGCAGGACAGATGGAGGCACCAGTGCGCTCACTGTCATTTTTGGTCATACAGATAAGAGTAATACATCTTTTAAATCTGCAAAGCCTCTACGTTTATGTGTGTGCACTCACAATAACAACAAAACGCGCTTTTGTAAAATAGTGAAAGCAAACCGGATGCACTTTCTGCCGTCTCTGTCTCTGTGAACTTGAGCTTGAAACTCCGTGTATATCTTTGCCTTACAGACATTACAAATATATATATAGAGAGAGTGAAATGTATACTTTCAAATAAACCAATTCAAATGGAAAACAAATATTCTGAGATTATGTAATCTGTCTGAAACAAGCATACAGGCGCATCCACTACTGTGGAGATGACAAGTCAGTGTCGCAGACTTCATCTCTTAACCCGAAACAAAAAAAGCACTAGTTTATCAGTGAATTATTAAAATGTTAATGCAGCCTCCTTACAGTTTTTCCCTGACACATTCATAATCATAGCTTCTGCGGTGCGCTATGGCAAGCTTTATGAGTGCGCTTGAGCGCTTATTAGGCTTTGTAGGCAATTCAAGTCTCATTGTAATGATTTAAATGGTTTATTAATAAACGTGAAATTAGTCGACTAATGCTTGAAATGAATGACTATAGTCGACCAGAAAAATCCTTAGTCGAGGGCAGCCCAACAATCCAGGCATCTCAGGTCACATGTGGAGAAAACATCCTGAACGGATTGTCCAGTCCATAACAGGGCTGCAGTCATATCTCATTACAAAATATTTTTGGATATGTCACAAAATAGATGGCTGCCAGCTTGTCAAAACCTGAGCAGTCTGACCTGAGGAATCTGCTTTTCATTCCTCTCTAGGGCAGTAAAGTCTGATATTGGGATGCACAAAGGCTCCGAGCACATTGAAACAGGAGTCATCAGATCGGAGTTAGTAGATCACTCCTCACCTTTACGGCACTGGACCAGGCTCCTAAGAGTCTCTGAATGACACTCCTCATATTTAAACCACCAGAGATGGAGTCCACCAGATCACTTGGAGAGTACCACGCTATTCGTCAGCAGTGCACATCCAGGGAAGGTCAGAAACACTGCGGGTACATTGGTTCTTATGGATGATGAGTGGCCAAAACAAAAGAGCTCTCACGAAAGCTAAGAAAATACCTTTTTTAATACATCAAAAAGGCTATTATTTGCTATCAGACGCATCATTTGTAAGTTTAAAATGAATGGCGCCATGGAAATTTTCATCAAGGTGAATAAGATGTTTGATCAGAGCAGCTGAGAAAAACCCTCAATTTACTGTCAAAGGCTCGCAAGACAGCCTGATGAAAGGAGAATTTCAGAACATACTATAAGAACACCAAACAAGCGTGGCCTTCCAACAGGACAGTGATCCCAAGTATGCATCCAAATCTACCAAAGCTTGGTTCAAATGTTGTTTACAGTAGTGGCCGGCTTAGTCTCTGGATTTAAATCCCACTGAAAATCTTTGGTTGGATTTGAAGAAAGCAGTAGCAGGACAAGTGACCTGGAAGCTTTTGCACACGAGGAATGGTCCGAGATTCCTTTAGAGAGGTAAAGGATCTTCTGCAAAATTGAGGATGTAGACTGTACAAGAAACTATACATGAATGCATTCAAAAGTCATGGACATTTCCACCACATCTCAAGTGGACCACATGCAGACCAGATTTGTGTCATCTTACTCTTATCTTGGGGAATGAGTGTTCCGTTTTCTGCTTAATATGCTTTGAAAATTCCACAAAATCACACATTCTGTTCGATCCCAACTTATGTGAATGGCCCCTATTGCAGCACAGGACTCAGAAAACAAATGCTGTAAGGTCAAATTTACTGGCGTACATATTAACAATTGGCTTAGGCTAGTTAGCTTTGGTAGTTAGCACCTGCTGGTAGATGCTGTAACTGCAAGCTTCTGTGGGCAAAAAGCACCTTTGTCCCATATGGTCAATCAAAAATAATAATCAATTTTGCAAGCTACATTGTAAATTAGAAGTCTCTTAGACATTTCAGTATTTGTCAAAGGTCCACTTAGGTGTTGTGTTTTTGTATGTGGGTATACACACAATGAAAGCGGTGAAGGGTTTTTCAGTGTTTGGGTGCTTTGCTTTGATGAGCTCTATCAAGCATCATTCATCACCAAGAATTAGGGACAAAAGGTTTAGTGACACTTAATCCCGGTCAAACAGTGTTTTTATATGCATGAGTTTTATTTAAGAATGAAGCCAGATGACAAGCTCCAAATATTACAACGCACTAAAATTCACAAACAGTAATGAACCAAAACTGTGATTTGCTGAAGTGTGTGTATGGG